TCCCATAGTTCACATCCACATGACCAACATAGTTCACATACTCCATAGTTCATACATGACCAACATACTTCGCATAGTCCACATAGTTTAGAAATCTAGCATTTAGAACATAGTGCACCAAAGAACCAAGTAGTCGTACCATCGTCCACAAAAGAGGCACATAGTTCACAAAGCATACACGTAGTTGATAGATAGGATTAGGGGTTAGGCGTGAAGGGCTGTCGAGGACGACACCAACGGCCTGGATTTGTCACAAGGAGATTAGGACTACCGACGTCCGAGCGATCACGGGCACGTGGTCGCACATTTCTTCCTTCACCTCGTCGCGGGCGTTGGGATGAACTCTACACAAAACATATACAACATCAAAGAAGTAACATGAGGAAATAGTAAAGTGGCAGTCATATTCACAAAATATCAATGATGTTGGACATCCATATCAAATACAACCTCATGTACTACTTGGTAATGAAACACGCACCTGAGTTTGTGTACCCTGAGGAGCATCAGCAAGTTGGGAACCCGTCAGCTCGTCTTGGTCATACGTTGGATCATTGAAGTCATCATCATCTCCATTGTCGCCGTCTTCGTCATCCCTACATCTTGCACGGGAGCTCTCTGGTCTCTCAATTGATGCCCTTTGGCTTGTATGGGTTTGTCGTCCTTAGGATGCGGGAGGTGGCACTTGTACATCTTTGGCTCTCATGCAACTCAACTTGTAAGCCATGCGTCGACAAGATGTCAACACTTTCTGCAAACATGTTCATGTCAAATGAGAAGTGGTTACATATTGTTCTGGGTATAGTTCAAATACATAGGCATAGGGATATTACGTTGGCAAATTCTTCAAGGTATGAATTCTTGACCCCTGCTGCATGTCCAAGGTAAACTCTGGCCTCATTAGAAAGGTGAGCTAGCTGAGTTGCCTAGAGTACATGCATATTCATCATTACAACATACTTTTCAAGTCAAGGTGCGTGAAGGCATAGTTCAATTCAAATGCTTACCATGTAGTTCTCAAGTGGCGCTCTCTGCGGCTGCACACTTGTCCTTGTCATCACATCATATGGGTCCTCGTCGTCACTCCCTTGTTCATCAATTGGAATGCTCGAGACCGGTGGATGCACAGTGATTCTTGATGACATGTGAAGCCACGCTAGGTACTCACGGTAATTGTTGGTCACATAATGAGCCCCATTAGTCGGTTCCACCTTCTCTCTTGCTTCCCAGTCTTGCACATACTTTTGATGCTTCACAAGCCAATCATTACCGCCGAACCTTTTCCTCCTTGAAATCCTACAAGGACGACACATATTATATTTTGAGGCCTTGTACGATGCATGCAATGGTGAGTCATGATACATGCAAAGTCCAGCTTACTCATGCAACTAATGGGTTGTCGACTCATGCTATAGAGGGAAATTTTGATTCCTACCAAACTGCTTCATCACTCTTTGGAGCAAGTGGTGCTCGACCACATAGTAGAAGATCATCGCTACATTGGATCGCCACAGCACCTTCTCAGCCTCAACATATGGGGCCACGTTCAACTCTCATACGTCTCGCCTGTCATATGGATCCCATTCAACCTGTAACATATGTTATTAGTACATGGCCTTGTTGATACTTTATGAAGAAAAAGAATGGAAGCCTCAGTGGTGGAACGAACCTGGTTCGGAGTTAAAACATCCAATCATTGGAGTATTGAACAAAGCGTCATTGCGGCTGACCCCGAACCGACTTAATTCCCGTCCAAAGGTAGCATATGGGGGGACGACAGTCACCATGTGTCCAATCCTGAAAAACAAAACAATTCTAAGCATTTCACATAGTGCATGCAATAAATGAAACACATATAGCAATTAAAAGCAAGGTACTTACCACAACTCTGCCTCTATGCACCCGTCCGATAGGAATGCGCTCCCAAATCCAAATCTAAATCAAGTATGTGCAACCACCTATGTTGGAATTGGGGTTGGCCCTCCTACATCCCTCACATAACTATCGATACAACCAAGCAAGAGTGGTAGACCCCAACTATATTGGGCGATGTTTTCCCATGGCTCACGTAGCTGGGGTAGGACCATCCACGAGACGGTGTTCCTAGAAACGTCTAGAAACAGGAACTGTGCCACCATGTGACACAGCCAGACACGAGCGTACCTCTCAACGACGTCGTTCGGTGCATGGGGAGGGCACATGTTTAACGTTGCCGCAACCAAACTGAGCTGACACCTGAAGTCTTCTCCTTCTTCCCTTCTTCAGGGTTAGGTGGGCGGTGGGCGGTAAACTGCTCCACCATATCCTTCCAGTTGAGTGGCTCTACCATGCCTGTCACTACCAGACCGTCCAAGCGAAGGACCAAAATGTAGCCAACGTCTTGCATGAGCACGGCCATCTCTCTAGAGGGTAGGTGGAAGCTATGGGTCTCCGGACGCCACCTGTTGATGAAGGCGGTGAGGAGGGGACCATCCATGTTTGGGAGGCCAGCATTGATAGCTCTAGCCAAGCCTAGAAAATCGGCTCCTGCTCTTGAGAGGTACGGGGCATAGCGCTCGTCCCACTCGAGCGGTCGGTGAGTTCGAGGACGCAGCGGGACCAAGGCCTACAAAAAAACGACGGTAGAATCGATAGCGGGTTTAAGACATTATACATGGAAATGAAATATTGTGTGCAAATCACTTACATCAGCATTGTCGACCATCAAGTGCGCTCGGTGGTCCTTGTCGTAGTAGGTCTCAAGAAGGGGGAAGTGCAGGTGCGCCATGCTGCAATTGTGAAAACGATGAGACAACATTAGAATATGGAAAAAGTAAATAAAATATGGCACATGGTACAAAAACAACGAACAAATGCATGGAATATATAAGCAACACCTATTTTAATCTATGTATGTACCTTTGTAACCTTCAAACCACTATGACTCTCGTTCTGTGTTTCTAATTTCTTTGACTTGTTACGCTTCTTATGTGTGGCAGCGGTATGACCAGTTTTGTGGCATTTGGAGTAACGGACCTGTCCCGGTGCCTCATCAAAGTCACTAAAACCATACATATCTTCACCATACCCATTCGATGCATCCATAACTCCTCAGAGATGCTTTTTCTTTCTTTGTCTTTAGAAGGTCCGGGTCATGAACATAATCCAACCCGTAATATGGGGGCCATTGTGTCGGATCTAGGTAAGGCTCGAAGCCCGACTCTCATACTTTGAGAGTGTTTGACATGAGGTAAAAAGGAGACATGAACTTTTCACTTTCGTGGTCTAGACCTCTGCATCCGCAAGCTGTAATGACATGCGAGCAAGGCACATAGAGGAGTTGTGGAATGTTACAAGGGCATTCGGCTTTCTCAAGGTCCACCCTATAATTCCTACCACCGTACTTCTTGTCCCTCGGGTTCATTCCTCCGGCTGACCTGACATTGTACACTAACCGAGATGGCCTAAAGGCCTCCCCCACTTGGTTGGAAGCTATCGTCTATGAGAGATCCAAGTGTTTTGTACCGGGTCTACCCCATTTCTCTTTGGATGCATTTGCTATGTTCCATCGATTGATAAAGTATTCATTGCACTTCCTAAAGGAGTACTCCACAATACTTGACATGGGGACTGCACGGATACCCTTGAACACCTTGTTGAACGATTCTGAAGAATTGGTAGTCATCACGCCGTACCGAAGACCTCTGGCATCAAATGCAAGAGCCCACTTGTCCCTTTGAGGCATATGATCCTCAAGCCAACTCTTTGCCCTAGCATTGAGGACCTTGTGTAACTCCACAAGCGTCTCTTCGAACTTTTCCTTGGTTTGACACCCACATAGTGACTTCAATTTTTGCACTACCTCCTTTTTCTTCTACCTCCTCCATTTGTTGGCAGCAAAGTGCCTCATGCACCACCGATGCTCAGGAGGAGGGCGTCCATCTACATGCTATTTCGTAGCTATCAGCAGACCGCGATGACGATATGAGATCATGCCTATGTTCCAAGATGAACGAAGCACATTCTGTCTCGCAAGCTTCAAGAACCAACACCAGCTGTCGTCATTCTCACCCTTAGCCAAAGCGAATGCTAAAGGGACAAGTTGATTATCCGGGTCCACTCCAACGACAAGCATCAATACACCCCTGTACTTGCCTGTCAGGAATGTACCATCAACAAGCACTAAGGGACGACAATGCTTGAAGGCCTCCGCGGACTGAGCAAAACACCAAAAAAGTCTCTGCAGATGACAATGCGACCCACAGAAGGATACCACCTAAAGCCTGGATTGTAGTGTTTCATGGCACTTAGAATCCTAGGAACTTGGTTGTACGCCCTTTCCAATCGCCCCATAGCAACTCTATAGTATGCTGCTTTGCTCGCCATGCCTTTGAGTAGTTCACTCTATAACCAGTGAACCCAAATATGGTCTCGATCATGCTTGAAACAGATGTGTCACTATCGGCCCTAACCGTGCCAACAAGACGACGACTAAGGTAATGGGCTGTGTTTTGGGCATGCACACCCTTCGGCTTCGAAGATCGACACGTGTGAGGTTACCTTACATTGCGAATCTTCCACTTTTCATTTCTCTGCCTTCGAGCCCATAGACCCCATTGACATCCATTCTTGTAGAGGACCGTGTACCTCTTGTTCTTGTTAGAGTGGCTAACATAATATGGCCTGTGAAACCGAACGACATAATCCATCAGAAAAATACTTGAGATGCTCCAACGTATCAAATATCATTCCCTTCTTAATCTCCACCTCCTCACTATCTGGTACCTCATCGGGCAACAACGACAAACCGGTGTCACATATTGCTTGGTCAACCATACTAATGTCCATGAAATTTGGTACCGAGGGTACCTCCACATGGACAACCTTCAATTGCCTCAATTCGATGTCATTGTACTCCATTGTCAATGACCCGTCAGCTAGGACTCCTATTGCGTCCGGAAACCCTCCCTCACAACAATCAGTTTCGTCCTCGCTACTAGGCTCAGACCTGTACTCGTCCTCTAACACATCATCCGAAGTACTTGGCCCCGAAGTAAAGTCATCTTCGCCGCGAAGGCAACATCAACTTCATCATCCTCTGATCCTTGGGATATGTCATCCATATCATGTGTTCCATCTCCATTGCCATCGTCTTCATCAAACGTTTCTTCATTGAAATCATCATTCAAGGCACCGGGCTCATATGACCTATCAACTTCTCTAACGACAACCGTCTGCAACTCTTCGTCTTGGGTAAGGTTCTCTATGGGCTCCACATCCACATTATCACCCACAACCACCACAATTTTGCTACACCGCTTCTCCACAGCAACTTCCAAGCACCTAACACTGCTACTCTTGACAACCTCTATGTAGTTCTTCCATTTATCCTTACATGACAAACACATCAACACATAATGTGTCCGTTCCTTCCCACAGTCAAATCTGCCTCTTAAACTTAGTGGCCACCCAAATTTATCTCGGTACTAGCTAACCAAAGCATCAAAGGTAGGAGGTCCACTAAAGAACTCAACATGTTCGTGCATGCTTTCGTACTCTGTTTCCTTTCACTTTGCCACCATGAAACAATCGTACTAACCGATCCATCTACAAAATACGAACCAACACATCAACAACACATGGACTACGCATTTTGGAAATAAATCATATCCATTCACTAATACACTACAATAACAAAAACTTCACAGTGATGGCAACAAAGGAAACAAACATTCAGATCTAAATCCACCATGCACCAACTACCAAAGTCCACGCAACATGTAGTTTACGTCCAATCCACGGGCAGAGTATATCCTAAACCTAATCTACGCATCAAATACTAACAAGCAACGATCAAAACATTGTCACCATCCCTAATTTCCTAACCCTAGTCTTCAAACTCATGAGGCAAGAAATTAAGAAAAAGTGGGGGAAGATCAACCTAGTGGTGTACTTGAGTCCACGGAGCAAGGAGGTCGCGGACCACTCTAGGACAAACCTCGACGGCGGCGCCGCTGCGGCAAGGCGCCGATGACGCGGGGAGCCCGCCTGCTCCCCCTGGCGCCGCTCCCCTGCCGCACGAGGGAGAGGGAGAGAGAGGGTAGCAGGAGCAGCTGCTGAACTCGTCGGCGACACGAGTGAAGGAGAGGGAGAGCGAGAGAGAAAGGAAAATGGGCCGGGCCGGCCAAATCGTATATGATCCTGTCACGCCGGCCGCTGCCTGAGTCGCCCAAGTGATGGGCGGCCCCACTTAACGCCATGCCATACTCCGGTCAACGATGCGTGCCACCAGGCGCGCCTTTGTCGCGCCAAATAAGATGTGGCGCGCGACAAAGGGGCCGTTGGATGGTGTGAAAAACCAAATTTTTTCACTGTGCACGGATGGTTTTCACTGTTCACGCTCTCACAAATTCCTCCAGATTTATCCAGATTCCTCCGAACGAACAGGTGCCAAAGTGGTGCAGTCGCGCCACTCGCGCTGGTGGGAAAAGGGATATATTTGTAAATGTATTTTTGGGATTACTATTAAAATATTGTTTAAAAAAGATTAAAAATAAAAAAGTCCCTCTTCCGAATCCCCACCTGCGTGAGTCCAGTCTGGCTCTCACAAGGGACAGTCACAGTCACAGTCACAGTCACAGTCACAGTCACAGGCTGTGGCATTAGCGTCCTTCTCCCTCTCCGGTGTCCGTCCGGCTCTCCCTGCCCTGTCCTGTGATCCTGTCCCTCCCACTCCCAGTTCCAGCGGAGGAGCGGAGAGGAGGGACTACCCTGTGGGTGGGTGTGGGCTGTGGCAGGAGGGCAGCCTTCTTCCCTCCCCTCCCCTCCCTCCAGACTCTAGTGTAGCGCAGTGCAGTAGGGTTTCGCGTTCCTCCGCATCCATCCTTCCCCGCATCCATCCTCCATGGCCGATCCCGACGAGCTCGGCCGCCGCCTCGCCGCGGTCGCCGTCTCCGAGTCTCCTACTGCCGCCGCGGCTGCGCTGGAGAGCAGCAACAACAACATCTTCCAGGTGATGCGCGCCGTCGAGGACGCGGAGGCCACCATCCGCCAGCAGGTATCGTAAATCATTCTCTTCCTGCCTCTGCGGCTCTGCTCAAGTGAAGAGAGAGAATCAGCTCCAATTAGAACAAGCGACTCTCTCATCACGCCTCTTCTCTTCTCTTGTATCCCTCTTCAGCTGGAGGAGAACAGCCGGTTGAAGGACGAGCTGATGCTCAAGACGCAGGAGCTCCACAGAATTGTAAGCCCATCCGATTTCCACGCCCTTCCCGATCCAAATCCCCTCCCCTCCACCTTCCCACACTGTCAATCAATCATATGTCTATATGCTGCATTGCTGCCTGCGCAAACAATCATATGCTGCATTGCAGCACATCATTTTTCTTTATCATGTCATTTCATTTGCCTAATAGCTACTGTGGTGCCCAAACCAGAGGTCAGAAGCCACAAACCAAGCTTCTTCTCGTGGGATCCATCAGGATCGCGCTCTCGCCGCCCACACAGACACCTCCTCCACTGCTCCCATGTCGCAGGATGCCGGCATCAAGCACAAGTGCCTCGAGGCCACCCAGGCTAATGGAATTCCCCGTAAATCATCAGGGGACCAGAGCGCTCCCGATAGTGCGTTCCCATCTCAGCTATCTACCCCGTCTTCTCGTTCCCTCTCACCAACTAGGTAGGAAGTAGTACATTCCAAATCCAGCCTCTCTTAATATCATACTATCCTGTTTCGTTACCTTCACCAAGCCTTTCCTTGCAGGCACCGCAAAGAACCAGACTATGATTCTAGGCTCAACTTATCCGGACAAGGCGCACTGCCTGTTTCAGACCTCAACTCAAATGTTGTCATCTGGAAGCAGGTATCAACTGTTTACTTTGTCTGTCGGTTGCCATACTTTTGATTGATTGATTGATTCACTCTTCTTGCTGAGCTGCCTATTTCCTTCCACAGGATCTCCTTGTTAAGGTTAAAGAACAAGATGAGGAGATTGCACAACTGAGAAGGCATCTCTCTGACTACTCTGTCAAGGTGGCCGTGCACACTAACAATCTTTTTCCTCTAATGTTCTTTCTTCAATCTTTAGTATTTCACTCCTATGTCTTTTCACAGGAGGCCCAAATACTTAATGAGAAACATGTCCTGGAAAAACGCATTGCATATATGCGCATGGTAAACGTTTTATTTATGACGCATCAACTACCACCTTGGAGTTTGTTAAAAAAAAACACCTTGGAGTGCATGAGACTATGATTTAACTGTTTTTTTTCTTCCTTTTTCGTGGGGGCAGGCGTTTGATCAGCAGCAGCAAGATCTGGTTGATGCTGCATCGAAAGCTTTGTCTTACAGACAGGATATTATTGAAGAAAACATCCGTCTTACATATGCATTGCAGGTAATGTTTTCCTGACAGCCATTAGCATATTCTTTCCTCATTTGCTTGCTATTATTACATACCCCCAAGATACACTTGTGATTAATTCATTTTTCATTGAATTTGCTTTTTGTATACCTTTAGTTTCCATAATAAGCTGCAGCGTTCATACTACTCAATGAATATCCCCTCTTATTTACAAATCAACCTAATTCTGTGCACACGTGTTAAAAGAACTGATTTCTAGTTAATTCATTTCATTATTTTGTGAGAATCTTAAAACTCGACCTGCGGGGGTAAGACAGCCCTAGAGCATTTCGTTAAGAGAAGACATTCTCACGCAGGCTGAGAAACACCCTGAACCCCAGCCCTACCCATACACAGCGGCACCATAGCCCATGTGAAAATGATCATGACCGGGGCCAGACCTTAGACCTGTGCTTCGGTGTGGAACAAACGAGGGGATCTTTTTAACCCCAGTATGAAATTCGCTTCCACGGGGAGTCGAACCCAGGACTTGAGGAGTGCTACTCAAGCCACCTAACCAACTCAGCTAGAGGCCCTTTTGCATTTTGTGAGATTCTTATTTATTCTATTCAGATAAACTAGGTGTGTATGCTGCAATTAGTTTTTGTTATTTTCTTCAAACCTTATTGTCTGGATTTGGTGAAGTAAAATGAAGAATGCTGAGTCTACTTTGTTCCATAGGCAGCGCATCAAGAGAGATCAACATTTGTATCTTCTTTATTGCCTCTTCTATCGGAATATAACCTTCAGCCTCCTGTTCTTGACGCTCAGTCCATTGTTAGCAATCTGAAGGTATGTGCTGCTGTGATTGGTTGCTTGTTTGGCATTGATTAAATGCCCCCTTTTCTATTAAGTGAGCTTGCCCATGGTGAACTGGGGACCTTGTATATTGTTGTACATGGTAAAATTTACTTTTCTTATTGGGATATGTCATACATGCCGAGAGGAAGCTAAACTACCTTCTTAGTGAGGCTTATGCCACATTTACAGGGAGTGCTGAATTATACTATCTTCTAAGATATTTTAGATATATAGTATCATTGCTACAGAAGACATATTATTATAATAGTTTCAAAACAATCAAGTGACAGAAGTAAAAAATTCCCTTGATTATTTTTATTTCTTGCTTGGTTGACCTTTCATTTTTCATCATGTAGGTTCTGTTTAAGCATTTGCAAGAAAAGCTTATTATTACTGAGGTGAGTCACATTCGTCCTTGTTAATGTGTATTTTGTGAAAGAAGAGCTAGTACAAACCTGCTGCCTGGACATTGGTGAGCTTGTTATGCTTGCCAAGCATTGAGAAAGTTGGATGTTGCAGGAGAAGCTGAAGGAATCACAATACCAGATTACTCCTTGGCGTGCTGAATCTTCAAATAATACAAGTGCTGCTGCACAGTCGCCTTCTCATACTCCTGGAAATGCATTGGTTTGTTCGATATGGCACTATGCTTGCTTTTCATCATATATTTCTTGGAATGCATGCATGATTGTAGATTCTAACGTCCATCACATTTCTCAGAGCAAAGCCAACCTTGACATTGTGCCCCAGCAAGCATATTCTCATGTACAGTCTCCAGCTTCTTCTCCTGTTCGAGCTAGGCATGATTGGGATTTGTTAGGGAATGAAAATCGTCAGGTCATTCGAAGTGACGTTGCCACAACAAGTGCAGAGCGTGATAATGTTGGAAGGACCTCTCCTTCAACCAGGTTGCTGGTGGTTACTTTAAAAATTCAATAGGATATGTTTTTAGCTATTCTTTGCCGTTTCACAACAACAACAACAACAAAGCCTTTAAGTCCCAAACAAGTTGGGGTAGGCTAGAGTTGAAACCCAGCAGAAGCAATCAAGTTTCAGGCACGTGAATAACTGCTTTCCAAGCACTCCTATCTAAGGCTAAGTCGTTGGATATATTCCATCCTTTCAAGTCTCCTTTTATTGCCTCTACCCAAGTCAACTTCGGTCTTCCTCTACCTCTCTTCACGTTATTATCCTGGCTTAGGATT